ACCAGAGTGTCGATGTGCTCGTCCTGGCCGAGCGTCACGGTGCCGTCGGAACTGCGGTGCTGGTGCACTCCGCAATTGGTGAAGTAGCCGTAGTCACCCTTCATCCTCCAGAAGACGTTGTAGATTTGTCTGATCAGCCGGTCGACGTGCTCCTTGTGCCCGGCGATCTTCAGATTGCCAACATGCTTGGTCAACGTGAGCTCTAGCTCCGAGACACCGGCAACGCAGCTGCCGGACGTCTCGTGCTTGACCTCAAGCTCCGGGCCCCGCGGGGTAGATTTGGCGTTGCGTTCAGGTGAGCGCGCGACCTGGGAGAGCTTCATGGAGAAAGCTCTGTGCGCATCCTTGCTGCCCGTGCCCGGCTTGATGCAGCGCAGGCAATCGGTCCGCTCGTCGAAGCTCTCGTAGACGGGCGCCTGCCTGAGGATGGCTGCGCTGCCCGGCGGCAGGGTGCAGTTCACCTAAGGATGTGCTTCGACTTGCTCCTGCATCTCTGCATAGGTCATGCCTTGCAGGAGCGCCTTCTCGACGTCGGCGGCGACGTGCGCCTGGTCGGGGCGACGCGCCGCCCCTGAGTATTGTAAGCGCTGAGGCGCCCGCTTCGCTGTCCCAGCGAACGTCTCCAGGGCTCCACCGTCCGCGTCGCGGAAGCCCGTCGGCGCCGTGCGGCGCCGGGTTATCCTGGCCGTCTTGCTGTCTGATCCCTTCCGGTGCGTCCACTTAAAGACACGTCTGGGGTCCATTGCGTTTCGGGCGCCTCTGAGCGGTCGAAGCAATTGTACTTGATCCAGACGGTGAGCTCTTCGAGGGTGGCCGCCGCGACCTCCTTCGACGGCCTCGACACTTCCTCGTTGGGCAGCAGGTCGGTGTCGCGCCCGGCGACCGCGGTCTTGGCGGCGGCATGCATGTGGGGCGCGGCTGTCTGAGGAGCGCTAGCGACAGTCGCCGGACGCAGCCTCGTTGAAGCTCAGGAATGCTTCGCGCGCCCCTGGATCCAGCTACAGCTCCGCATGTCCACCTCTGTCGTCCTCCTCCTCGAGCGTGGAGTAGTCGTCCAAGGAGGCCCCGCGCAAGTAGTAGTGGCACTGCGCGCGGGTGTCTTGCGCTGGCGGTCAGCGCTCTCCAGCTCCTCTGGCTCCTGTGTCAGATCTTCTGCCCCCCCGACTTCGCGCCGGGCTGCCAACGTCGCCTGTTGGACGTGGCCGGGGAAGTCGCTGTCGGTCTCCTCTGGTATAATCGACAAGGCTGATGGTGATCCACCTTCGGTGGTGTTGGCGGTGTCCTGTGGGACGTCGATAACGCAGTCGTGTTCCGTCCAGATCCTGTCCAGCGATCGTTGCCAATAACGGCTCATCACCCAAGATAAGCTGGATGATGCGAGTTTCGTTCCAATGCTCGCCGATGGGCTGGTGGGTGCCGAACGTGATGCCGTTGAGATGGATCTGCTGGACGTCGGTGGGGTTCCCAGGGGGCCGCCAGGCGGCCGAGCACCCCAGCCAATCGCCCACATATCTGTCCGCGAATGAGTAGTGCAGCGCGAACGTCTGGTAGCTGGGAGCTTCTGCGGGAAAGACTGTGCAAGGCTTCGAAGACGTCTGGGCGTTGTCGTGCCTGCTCGGTGAGCGGCGCGCCCTTGGTGTCCTCCCAGTGGCCGAAAGTCCTGGCCCCGGAGCCTGGTGTCACGTGCTCCAGGTAGTCCTCTACGCGGTCCCAGGCCAAGCCTGCTTGCGCCATGCAGGTGCCCGTCTCGTCGAAGACGGCGCCGATGAAGGCCCGGGCGTCTTGCAGTCTGCAGACCATCTCGGCTCGGTGGTACTTGGCCGTCACCCTGCCTCGAGCCGGGTCTACAGACGTGACTGTCCCAGGGCCCGCCCAGCCTGACGAATCCTTCGTGCATGGCGGCCTGTGGATCTCCAGCTGGTCGCTCGCGTTGAAGCGGCCCTCCCCAGACTCGGTCGTGCGGGTCCTGAGGGCGCGGCTGACGCGTGCGGTCGATGTGGCTTCGATCATGCGTTGGAAGGCTGTCTCTCGGATGCACCGCTGCAGTCGGCTGGGCTGCACTTCCCCGCCAACAGAAGGCTCGGCGCCAGCGACGCAGTCGCCGGATGCCTCGCCGTGTTCGTCTGCTGCGAGTGGTAGCAGCATGTGCGGAGTCTGTCTGGGGGCGACATTGCATGGCGCACCGCTGCCCATATGGGCGAGGCTCTTGCCGGCAATAACGGCATGTGCTCGCATGAAGTCGAAATTCGCCGTGATGCCGTCGTGCTCCAGCTGCTCTTCCGTGGCGTGAAGAGCTCGTCGCAGCATGGCCCCGCGCCGCTCGACGAAACGATCGTGCTGGCGCGGAACGCGTATGTCGACCAGTACTCCTCCTCTTCATCTCCTCCGCGAAGTGCGTTGAGGTCATTCCGTCCTCGCCGTCCGCGATCAGATCTCCATCGGGCCGAACAGCTGGATCCACGAGCGGTCGATGGCGGCAAGCAGCGTCGAGTCGTGCTTA